AGGTTGACATGGGAAACTACAGAGCCACTGGGGTGGAGCCGATTTGGACGGATCACGAAATTGATAGTAAATAAACCTATTCCATGAAATTCTACACGTATGTACCAAGTTTCGTGGCAATCGGTTCAGCGGTGTCTGAGTTTATCACTGCCAAACAAATATATATATATATATATATATATATATACAAACATCCTCTTTTATACTTATAGAAAATGCCCATGTATAAATATGATTTAATTTAAAAAATATTACTGTAAGTATGGATTAAGTACAAAAATTAAAATTTTAATGAACAAGAGCTTATTTGAATAGAACAGCAAATACGAGGTGGGAGCAGGCCGATAAAATATTCATAGAATATTTGCTTAAAGTGCCATAAAATGTTTGTTTTCATTCCAATGTTGTTTTACTGCATTATTCCGCAAGAACCTAAGCACACCTAAGGTAAGGATCTTTAGAATAGAAGCTTGTATTCTATCAAAACAGTATATAAATAAACTTTCAAGATAATTCAATGGTATTTATAAATATAAATATGCTTTTACTCAAAGGTTTAACTATAAAAATATGGTTTTAATAAAAACCAGCATACTAGTTAATTCCATAAAACCTGACTTTAAGTTAAGCACAAGTATTCCTCCCCTAAAAACTAGCATATATTTATTAAAATAGACGATTATAGAGTTTATAGCTTAAACTTAATTATCATCAACCCCGTTATTGCCAAAAAATCTAAAAATGAAAGGAGGGTCCATCTGACATGTAGAACAAGGTTTTACGACTCCAGTACACAAAATTTCGGACACAAATAAATGTTATAAGGCTTCCTTGAACTGATTATAGCACTCAAATTATGCTGAATTTACTTATTTTTGCCGCACTCTTTTTTTGCCACACAAATTTTTTTGCGGCACCCCAGTATTCTAACCAAACAACACAAAACAGTGTACTTTTATTAGCCACGTAATACGTTACGCTTGAAAATAAGTTGGCAACACTTAAAGATACTAAGACTACGATCAGCTGGTGCAGTTTCCCATTTCGTTCAATGCTTGAATTTAACCTAACCTAAAACATCTTGTATAGTGTTTGAAGGTCTAATTATTTATATGCTTTTTAGTAACTGTAGGAAATATGTATTTGTGTAGCTAGTGGGCAAATTGGCACTTTGCTGCACACGAGAGAAATGGTTACTCACGAACCGTAGGCGAGTGTGACAATTTTCTCGAGTGCAGCTAAGGTTTGCACTTCCGCTACACATTATATTTTTCCTACAGCCACTATAAAGCATATACATAATTAGTCTTCAAAACACTGTATAACATGTTTTTAGGTTAGGTTAAATCAAGTCATTGAACGAAATGGGGAACGCTTCACCAGCTGATCGTAGTCGTAATATATTTAAATGTTTCCAACCTATTTCCAAGTGTACATGGATTACGTGCATAATAAAAGCACGCTGTTTTATGCTGTTTAGTAAATAATAAAAGATACTGTCAAAATCAATGTAAAAAGCAAATAAGTAAGAAAGAAACAAATTACTTATGTGGTGCATGAGTTATGAAAGTCATGACACAATTCCTACAACCCAGTATATAATGTTTGGTGCTGATTGTTCAAAGGACTTCATTACAGTAGAATCTGACAGTAATGTTTGGAGCTTTGAAACTAGATTGTCAAAACATCATGTAAGTATCTGACTTTAATACTTTATTTATTAATTAAACTATATTTAACTATATTAGCAATAAACAACTTGTCCCTAAACAGAAAAGTTTTTCTAGGCTCAAGAGTGGTTTTTGCTTTGATATTCGTCATATTCGATCAGGTAATTTTGGTGAACTTTGAGAATCTTAACTCAAATGTGCTCACTTAAACAATTTTCACCTAATCCTATATGCAGCCTTAAGATAATGTTCAGTTACTTAAGTACATATTGTAAATTAAACTAAGGTTTTGCAAACAATATAATGCACATTTATAACAACTACTCTATGCATTTTGTCTGTCTACAGATTATTAGGGGTGTGGATCCGATTAAGAAAGATTAGGATTTATTTTGAATTGTTAGAACAGCTGATGTTCGTAGGTGTTCTTTACCATCCGTTGTTTTTTTTTTTTTAGGAATATGTTTCATTACAGAACATCATTGTCATTTAATGAATGAATAACAAACAGCCATGAGTTAATTTTTTTTTTGTTATTGTAAATTACCTTTCACATTACATATAGACTATCATAGTTCTAATATATTCAAAGTTAAATAAAATACGTTACATGAAATAGTGCATTAAAAAGAAATGAGATAACTTTAAAATAATTAATCATTTACAGATTTTAAATGTATCTGAAACTTAAAATAAAACCGTCATCAGCTATATTTTAACTGGTTTGAACATAAAATTTAAACAAATACAATTTATTAAAAACTCAAAAGATTATAATCTTTATTTCAATTGGCTTGGTCATCATATAAAATAATAAATAAAAATTCAAAAATTTGCTCCATGCAAAGTGTGTGAAGCTTATAATATCTTATGGCGATGCAGGGCAGGATTAATAAAGTTATAAGTTTGCCTTAATTAAAACGATTTATATCCTTACGTGATTACATTATTCTTGATATAAGCTTACCAAGAACTTTATACGCCGAATAAACCGTACTAATTCTAAAGCTTTACGACCAAAACATGTAGTGTGGTAATGAAAAGAGCAATACCTCATTCCCTTGTTGTGTTACATTTATTATATAAACACTATTATGCATGGATGTATATTGTTAAAATGACATGTAAAAAATGATCAGTGGTCTAGTATTGAAATTTATTAAGAGTAGACTCACAATAAGCACATCAAAATGATTAACAGGTTCAGTCCCAGCCGTCACACTTCTCTATATGTAAAGTACCGCTCCCCGGAATGGGCACACGGGAGGGACTAAGGCTAAAGGTGTAGTGACGTCATATCTCTAGTGGCTAATGTCTACTCTTGAGGCAACACGATTACCCTAACGAAACTATGTGTTTTCAGCGGCGTTCGAAGCATAGTTAGTAGCGTTACGATTTGGTGTTCAGGAGGTCCCGGGTTCGAATCCCACTGGTAGCACTAACTTTTTGTCAACAAATTTTTCAAATCAGCAAGTTTGGTTGGTTAGGTTACGTTATGACAGTTTAATTTTATAATACTAAATTTTAAAATTAATTTTATAATTAATTAAAAATTATAAGTAATCATTAATTATATTTTTATCTTATACAGTTTTTATATTACCAGCAAGTCTGGTTGGTTAGGTTATGTTATGACAGTTTTATTTTAAAAATTAAAAATTAAAAATTTATTTTATAATTTTAAAACAATATTGTATAATTAAAAAGTTATTTTTATAACTAAAATTTTTTTTTCAACTTAGCGGTTCTAGCGGCGAACGCTGACACTACAAGATATGTTAGCCTTAGTCCCTCCCGTGTGCCCCACCGCTCTCTCCCCACAGGAGTGAGTGTGTTAACTGGTTCAGTCCTAGCCGTCACATGTATGTAAAGTTTCTCTCCACAAGGGAGTGAGTCTTTTAAGGGAGCTTAAGGTTATTGGTTATACGGAGTTCCAATTCAAACAGATCTGTGCATAGGGGAAAGGACGTTAGCATTTCATGTAGTTAAAATCTTGTACTCTTGTTGCCTAGGTCATACCCTGGTGTTTAGAATTTAAGCTTTAACCAAAACTTGGCTAGCAATAACTCAGAGTGCTTTGCACAAAGATGTATTCCAGTTGCGATAATCCATCGGGTTTTGGAGTTAAATAGTAATCAAAGCTCTTATTCTCTCTCTTCTTTTTGTTCTTTACTGTATAATGCAATATATATTTATTCCCTAGTAAAGCTCTTACTCCTCTTAAGTTTGTATTTAAGAAAAGTTATTTTAAAATGGGATTTATATTTAGGAACAGTATACCCTGGTGTTACAACTAAGATCCAGATCATACCCTGACTGATGGAGGTCTCAGCTGCTGCAGTTCTACTGAGCAGTTATGTAGGATTATCCTGAATAATTGTATCCAAACATTGGATTAGTTTAGTGCAAAACAATCGTTACAAATAAATAATAAACCTAAATTGGGGTTTTTGGATTTATTTAACCGTTATTTCTTAAGGTTTAGGCATTTTAAATATTTTATAATCTCATGAATAAACCTTTATAATTTGCACATTACTATGTTTATTTATCTATTTCCACACAAAACGATTTGTTGCTTTGTTTTCAGCAATCTCCCTTTAAATAAATCTCTCAGTTTACCTCTTTATTCGAATATAAATCGAGGGATAAATAGTTTTAATAAGTATGAGAAAATATCTATAAAAATAATAAAAACAAATATCACTCATACGATACTTATGCATTGTTTTGCTATGTAAGAAGTATACCAGATTAATCCATCTTCAACAAAACAGTTAACACACTTCTTCAAATTTTATTTGCTTCAGTTACCCTCGTTTCACACGCTTGTAAAAATGACATAACTATTGTATAATATTAATTTATCTTGTTCATATGACCCCTTAAGGAGCTGTAGTATGAATAGTTGTAAAGAACTCAATTCAACTACAACAATTGATCTATTCTTTTCAGGATTATCATAAGTTAAATTCCTCCTCATGACACATAATTCTCTAAAACTTAAAATAATAATATTTTATTTATAAAGCGTTTAATAGTCATCTTTTTACTTAGACACTCTTTTAAAATAGTGCAAAGCCTTTTTACGTTTTCTCGTTGTAGGGATCAGCTTTTATTATTTTTTTAAAAATATTTGTGGATATTTTTTGGGACATAACTATTGTATAACACTTATTTTGTACAGGTGAACCCTAAAGGAACTGTAGTATGAATAGCTGGAATTAACAATTAAATAGTTTAACATATCCAAACAATTTTTGATAAAAGCATTGGGATTTTGTATTAGTTCATACAAATTAATATGTCAACTAATAATAGTTTTTAATATGTTTAACAAATTTCAATACTCAATTATTATCATTTAAATAATTTAAATAACCCAAAACGTCCATGAAACTTGAAGATTCGTATCAATAATTTACTATCATTGGTAGTACATCATAACAAATTATTCATTTACCCATACTCGAAGGTTTTATCATCATCGTGATTTTAAATCTGCAATGCTTCCTGAAATATAAACGCAAAAAATCAATATAAAATTAAAAGACTTTAATTAATTTCTTATTTTAGAAGTTTTCAATGACATTTTCTCATAAAACGTTAGAATACAAGAGTAGAAAACAAAACTCCTATTATTATAACGTGAAGTGAAAATATCATATACGTTTTTTATCAAAATCATTTTACTATTACAAGTTCTTATTCTGAAACATATAAGCGGGAAACGATTGTGTTGACAAGTTAGGTTATATTCTATTAGCTAAACATTTGTATCGTATACTTGTATACACACATGATTTATTGAGCATCGTTTTATATGTAAACACAAAGAAATACATAAGTAAAATTGTTGCGAAACATAAAGTACCTAGAATATTATTGTCGAAAGACAATCTTAAGCCTTAAAATAGCATATGGGGGTTTCGTCTTGTAGATTTCTCACTACTTAATTGAAAAAGACTAGGGCTTAGACAATTTTGAAGGGGCTTAGGAAAACAAAAGATTTCTTAATACTTAATTGGAAACACTGCTTATTTGGTTGGTGATGTATATGTTCACATTTTAACGCACGCCATATCTATTGTATTATTATTACTGTAAAATAAATTGAGATCTTAAATTTATTTCTTCTCTAATGCCCTTTGAGTTGGAGTAAATCTTTTTTTTTTGGGGAATAAACAATTGACAATTTTTGGAAACTTCTATCTTAAACTAATGAGAAAAAAATATTCAGGCCATTGCTGTAAATAATTGGGCTCTTAACAGTTAAATTTAGTGAAGATGGTCCCAATGACATCTGGTAACTACTTAAATAATTTAAAGGTCATTTATTTAAATGTGTATGTAGATAAATATTTATTTGAATGAAGAGAATACAAACCACTCACACTTGTAGTGAATCCAGCTTCCTCCTCTGATATCTTTTTCAAATCCACTTCCCCCAGTCTATTAATAACTGGTCTGTACAAACCTCCCTGTCCAGTGTTCGTCACTACAAACTGATGGTTTTTCCCTCTAATCATACGAAACAGTTGAGGCTCCCACTCCTGGACCTGGGTGAGATAGTTATATATATGCTATTGACATTAAACTTATTTTTTAAGATAAAATAAAAAATGTCTCCAAATCAATAATAGTAAAAAAATACATTTTGACATGATTTATAAAAAAACTCAACAACAAATTCGATAGTTTATTTAGTATGTGTGTTTAGGATAGTGTCATGAACTAACACTACTATTTATTGCCTTACCAATTAAAATATAAACACGAATGAGGTATTATTTATACACATAGGAGTGGAGGATTACTGTAAAACTACGATATGTGTATTGTTGGCTCCATCGTTACTAAATAGAACCAGCTGTTTCTAAATATTTGATAGTTTAATGAAATTCACTTTTCAGCTGCATCTGGAGCTGTTTTTGAACAAAAATCTACTGACGTGTCTAAGGATCAAACCTATTAACTACTGAATACTCTGTGACTAGTTAACTCTGTGACTAGGGGTCTTTATTACTGTTACTACTCTGCTGCCTAGCTGTAGAGTCATCGTGTCTTAGAACTGAATTATAAATCCTAAGTAAAAAAAAAACAATTTTTGAAGAGTAATATTTCGGATAGAATTTAAAATTTTCCTTGAGGAAACAAAGGCTATGTTTGACAATAGTTTTTTTTTCAGTTTTCAATCTGTAAATATATTATCTAATTGAATTTTAAAATTATAAATTATTTGAGAGTGTATAAATTTGAACACAAAAATCACTACCATGAACACAATCTACAATAATTGGACACATTTGTGTAGAAACACTTTGTACGGCCCACTTTTTCGGTGGCGCCACCAATCTTATCTAATAGCCACCCTTTGAGACCATGCCACTCTACACGTCGGACACCAGTGTCACCACTAGTTGCGCCACCAGTTGCTTACGGCTAATAGTGGCCTAAATCTACCTTAACTGGAGCCCAAATAGAATTTAGTGTTAACCGAAGTTAGCTGACCTAAGTATTGGCACAACCGTTTAAGATAATATTACTATAGTTCTATACCCAACTCGGTTACCTTCAGATATAGAAGATAAGGAAGAGCTGTCAAGGGATCCGTCACATAAGGGAGTTTAGTCTCTCTGTCGTGCTCTACATTGTACACTGAGACGACGTCAGATTTCCAGTCCCTGACGACGACTTTCTGCCGGTTGGCCAAGTCGGACACAACATCCTCCACCGAGATATCATCCAGGTAACTGTCTTTGAACCTGGCGCTTTTCGTTGGTAACGCCTACAGCAATAAATATGAGATATTTTCAGTATCATTATTGTTAGCATCATCATCATGAGTGTATTCATACAAGGCTTGGAGCAAAATGCTGATTATTTCAACCAAATGATTAACCGCATGGTGCAGAATGGAGTTTGAATATTTGTGCAGCTCTATAATTTATTGACTGTATCTAGCTGTTTCATTAGCCAGAACCACTGTTGGATTCCAAACAGGGGTCGTAATGATCGAGGGCGTCTGGGTCCAGTTTCAAACTAAGAAAAAGCTACTGACTTTTATTAAAAATTAACCTACTAACTTTTGATTTTCAGGTAAGCACATAGGTCATATGATAAGATTCTTGTGTTGGCTTCTGCGTTCCACATAATTGTGCAATTGTGCATATTTTCTTTTAATTCACTACTGTCTTTTTATGTGAGCTTTATTTAATATCCAAATTATTTCCTTATATTCTTGTGTAAGAGGTTGTTCTGTGGTATTGAAAGTTCAAAAAACTCTTATAAATTACAATTAGTTAATGTACATTATATAAACGCAAGGTTGACTTTATTTGGAATAATCCATAATTTTAAAAATTAGAAAATATTAGTAGGAGCTATCTGGAGACTCGATACATTAAAATGTACATTTTTAACAATCGTCAAATAAATAATATAGTAAGTAACATAAGCAAAACAGTTAGTTTTTGGGCAGAGTAATCGAAGGTGAGCAAATGAAAACGTTTAGATTTTGCCTTGAAAGTACAAGCAGTATGGTGACCACAAAAGGGAACTACTTAAATCCAAGAAGATCTTAATAACGATCTTCATCATTGTCTATTTAATCATTGTCTAAACTTTTGTTTGTGTTGTATGTGAAAATAATGTACAACTTAATATTTATATAAACATTTATAAAGGAATATATATATTTAATAGTGCAAACATACATGAAAACTATGTGACTGTAATCAAACTTTTAATTTTGATTTGGAAAGAATATAATGAAACAAATTGTAAAAGACTTTGAGTATGTCCACTAAAGTATGTGATAAGAGCAATAACAAATAATTCTACTTACTTTACATTCCACAAAGAGTAAAATACCAAACAGTATCAGTTTCATGACTACACCTGAACAGTCAGCTGATCCAAGTGTTGACACACAGATGTTTTACTTAATTGGATTCAAATTAAAATACTCGATATCACATACGATTTTACAATACTTGCTGAAATTCATTATTATTTTACTGCATATGATTCTTTAGATTACAATTTAAAGTAATGAGTTCGTTTGAAGACCTTTGTAATACAAACATATTTATTTAGGTCAAGGTGATAAAGTTAAAGGTTTTTTGTAAATTCAGCATTAGTTTTTGGTCCTAAATTTTATTTAGTCTTACATTCGATTGATAATCGTAATGTAGTGCTTTCAATTTGATATTTAATTTCATAAACATAATACCTTTTGTAAATTATTTAAACAATGAAATGTGGTCGTTAGCCTTAAAAATAAACAATCTTGATCCAATGAATTAAAAATTTACCAAAGCAATCAAATCTCACTAAATTGTATGATTTACTTACACTTAAAAAATTTATAAAACGATAAACTCTAAAAATTATAATTTTAAACCGCCTTCTGCAAACTTAATCGTCTGCATATGTTTCGTCTTTGACGTTGGCTAATATTACTAATAGAAACTCAGTAATGCAATATATGGATGCTTCAGGCACGTGTCAGTGATACTTGGAATTAATTAAACAACTAACCTAATAAGATTCTACCTCTGTAGTTCAAATAGTTAGTATAACGTTTCATTGGTTTCATTTACAACAATGTAAATACAAGGCTACATCAGATTTATATGGGAATCAATACAATACAAGAATAAAAAAGCTATTTGCGCATTAAGTGCGCAAAGTACATCATTGCCGCTCCAGGACTGTAGATTAGCTTTAGCTGAGTGCGGTCATACATTTTTAAAGCGGCAACAACTGTATGTGCTCGTAATACACACAAGAATGTTCCTACTACGACTTATCATGTCACACAGATGAGTTTTTAAAACACATATTATTTAATATTATAAAGCTCTAATGAAGTTATTAATGTAAAGTTGATGTTGTGGGTTCAGACTAAATATGAATAACCAAAGTAAAGGGACCCGAGCAAAATTAATCAGCTAAACATCACAGGTGGCTTGATATTGGATATTTGATCAATAGTGAACCAAACATTTCCTTTACCTTAACCTCAATCTGATTTGACATTACCTTAATTTGGTTATGGGGGAGATCAAATAGTCTAATATCATGATTATACTTGTGTTTACAAATAGTTTTTCATCTTGTTTATTAAAAACCTGGGTTTTAATTTAAATTACAAATAATACTCCCGATATCTATTCTAATCCTTCCGAATCTAACCAACTGTTTTTACATAAACCCCCAGACAATAGAGTTTGAATTACAAACATTGATCTAGAAAAACTTTTCCAATCTATGAATCATAGTTTTCATATTTACTTTCAATATTTACACATATCATCTGTCCGGCTGTTCCAAAAGGTAGGGTCAAAGGTGGGGGAGGGGGGAGGGTCGAAGTTACTAAGCAAAAAAGCTAAATTTCTTAAAAAAAAGCTCTTTCTGCCTTAATGTATAACATGTTCGTTCTAGTTCTCATTTTAGCAATGTAATGTTGAAATAAACAGGACAATCGAATAATAAATGCATTTTAGTAACAATGTTTAACTTTTTAACTGACATAAGGGGATATTTTATTATTTGAAATTATTTTACTAGCTACACTAAATGCTATGTAAGGATTAGTTTTTTACTTTTGCAAGGGTTCATAAAAAACAAGGCCTTGTTTTTCTAGACCGAGATGATAACACCAAGCTCAAAGAGGTAAGAATAGCGAAGTTGCAATAAGGCTAGGTTTTCGGCCCTAGGTACGAAATATACTATTGCTGAGAAGTGTACAATTAACTCACTAGCAGCTAGTCGATTTAAATCGATGATAAACACAAAGTTATATAATAATTTTTCACGGTCATAATGCACATGGTTTGCCTTAAAATTGTATAAATTAAATGTACACAAAACCAAAGTAATATTTATATGTATTTATAACTTATTTTTCTATTTGATATTAAAATAAAGATTTTTTACGAAAGACATTAATATTAATAATTGTTTCAGAATAGAAGAATGGGGTTGAAGAAAAATAACTAGAATGTATAGCATTTACGTTTTTAAGCTCTAGGTTATATTATTTTGCAAAAATAAATACAAAAAGTGTATTTATCTGTTTTATGGCTACATGCTATAAGAATCTTAAAATAAAATAAGTTAAAATTAAATGGACTTCTAATTTCATATGGAGCATAAATTCAACCAAGATATAGGGGTGAAAACAGCAACAGTAAAGCAACCTCTAGACCACAAGGTTAGCCTCAAGACAGTGGGTTAACCACTGCTTATAACACCCTGGAGACCACTATATCAGTTCGGCATATGTGAGTAGCACGGAACTGTTATTTAAACACAAATGGCCGAATCCTAAAATTAAATGTAATATTAAAATTATAATTTTTTATATATAATTTAGGTTTTTATCAACTAATTTAATTTACTACCGAAATACCGGTTTATTAGACTTAATAGATTCACAACATAACACTTAGTGATACAGAAACTAGCATATGCATTCTGTAAAAACGTACATTTTCTTATATGTTATTATCGGTTATTATTTCAACTGTCCAGCCTTCAACGTGTGTGTTTACACATAAACTAACTTATTGTAAACTCACATGCAAACTCTTTAACCATATGGTTATCATTATATTTATATAGTAAACATAAATGTTATAAAATACGTTACCGTCTGCAATTTTGATACACATTTCTTTATTTAGCCTCCTGAAATCTAGTTTTCTTCTAAAAGGCTTACAGAAGAGTTTAAATAAGGCAGATTTTTGCCCTCTTATATTATAATATCACCGTTGCGAGCCTGTAGGTCAGATATTGTGAAGCTATTGGAAGCTTTTCCAATATATTCCACTTAGTCTATCATCCTTTGCAGTCTTTTCCCTTTGAAGATGGTAAAGCATTTATTTTTGTCCTTAAATTATCTTTCTTGTTTGATGAACAAGGTCTTATATTAAGAATAAAACTGCGATCTTTCAAAAGTATCTTATAGCTGAAAATAAAAACAATATATGATGTATGTTTTTTTCGGTATCGCTGATTGTATTATGCTCACAATCTTAAGTTAACACATCCAGATATGGAATTTTAGACATTGTTCTATCCTGTACAGGGACAATAGCTAGAACTCGAGACTACAATAGTAGAGTTAAGCCTTGAACGAAAGCTGGGCGATAACGATACCAAATTTTATTAATTAATAGGTTCCAGAACATTTTAAAATTACAAAATATCGTTCATATGCTAAAAATACGTACTCAAAATGAAAATAAATTCAAACGGGATTTAATATGAAACCAACTATCAGCCTCATTCAATTATAAAATCTACCATAATATCAATATATGTTTAAATCAATACTATGGCCTTTCGAGCTATTTTGATGATTGAATAACAGCTATAATTTTGATGGTAAACCATATCGGGATAATTGATATGACAGGACATAACTGGCCTCAATACAAGCAGTGGTATTGCCATGTCCTGTAAACATCTGTGATCAGTCTGTGATCGTGAATTGTCTTGACTATAATATATTAATCATTCTAAAGATTAGTATTGTTAAAAACTAATACATTTTCAATCAAATAGCCGTTCAGTACTGTTTACATGAATATACAGTGTGGTCGAAAAGTCCCGGAACGGTTAAATATGTTAAAATATAATGCAGATAGAGCTACAATACTTGGTACAAAGTTACAGGGCATAAAACTCTATTTTAACACATATTCAGTGATTCAATAACTTTTCAGGGGGACGGCCCACAAGGAGTCGGAAGAAAATCTTAAATAGAAGCATAGGTACATATGCACATCAAATTAAAGGTCTTTTTTAGTAGAATACAATGCCGCAAACACTACTTCAAAAAGTTGATTCTGCGCAAAATGGCAGATGTTCAAAGATTTCTTGAATCCGCCATTTTGAATCTTTAAACGACTGCCAATTTTTTACTCAGACATTCTTTTGAGATTGCATTTACGGCATCGTAATCTACTAGTGAAGACCTTTAATTTGATGTGCATATCGACCTATGCTTAAGTTAACAATTTTCTTCCGATTCCTAGGGCTGTGCCCCCCTGAGGAGTAAGCGTATAATAGCAATGTAAATCAAATGAATCTTTGAACAACTGTCATTTTGCGCAGGATCAACCTTTTGAAGTAATGTTTGCGGCATTGTATTCTACTAAAAAAGACCTTTAATTCTATGTGCATATTTACCTATGCTTCTATTTAAGATTTTCTTCCGACTCCTTGTGGGCCGTCCCCCTGAAGAGTTATTGGATCACTGAATCCTGTAACTTTGTACCAAGTATTTTAGCTCTATCTCCATTATATTTTAAAATATTTAACCGTTCCTGGACTTTTCTACTACACTGTATTTTATCAAATAGTTAAATTAAAATGAGGTAAATATTTACTGCTGTAGTAATTGGAAGTATTATTTTTTATTTAGTTTGTTAACCCTTAAATTCTTCCAGTGTTTTAACTTCTCACATTATTTTCCTTGCCGGAATGTAATCCTGGAGTGAAAATAATTTACTTTTTTTGTTTTACTTCTGCGTAAAAACATTTTTCAATAAATGTACTAAAGCGGTTTTTCCTATAGAAGACCAAGTCAATTACTGGCCAGGACACCTACAGTTTTATTTATTTTTTTTTTTTATTAAAAATCCAATAAAACAATCCTCGTGACAAGAAACTGGGTTCACCTCCTCGTACACTACAATACAGTGTGTTATAAAACATAATTCAAATTTACAAATTGAAATTAACATCAATTATATTTTTAATTCATTAGAATTGTATATTGTAGAAATTGGTTTAATAGTAACTGTTATCTACAATATGTTATATGTTGCTAATTATCAATTTATATAATTTGAGCTTCAAATAAATCCGAATAATTGTCGCTACCCAAAAAAAACACTACTTATTAA